GGGCAGGCGGATGGGAATGCACTGCTTCTCTGTGCCCGCCGCGTGGGCTCCCGCCCGCCCCACTGGCAGGGCAGGGCGGATGGTGGAATCCCGTGCCCGCCCCCGCTGATGAACCGACTGCTGTCAGCGGCCTGGGCCGCCCGCGTGCGCCCGCAACCGCAGCAGCAATCGGGGAGAACATTCGGGCCCCCGCGTGCGCCCGCAACCGCAGCAGCAATCGGGGAGAACCGCAGCAGCAGCCGCCCGCGTGCGCCCGCAACCGGAGCCGCAGCCCGGGAACGCGTCGTGGGCCGCCCGCGCCGCGCGCGCCGGCGCCCGCAGGCGTGCCAGCAACCTCCACTGGGGACCACAGGTTTGGCCGCCCGCGTGCGCACGCTCGCGCACCCGCAACTGGGGAGCACAGCACGTTCCGGGTTGCCCTCGCGCGGCGGCCACCGCACCCGCAGCCACAGCCAGGGGGCGCCTTTTTTTGTTGAGCTGCCCGCGGGCGCCCGCGAGCGCACCGGCAACCGCGACTGCAGCAGGGGACCTTGGGACAAGGGAGCACGAGGTGCGTTCTTGAAGCGCATCTTGGAGTCATCCTGGGATGTTTTCAGGCGCTCTTGCGCCCTTTTGTGGCCGACTTGGACCGCATCATCCCCGCCATCCTCGTCACCATCGCCGCAACGAGTTGCCACCATCGTGCCACTAGATTCGTATTGTCCCTCGACGCTGATGTGTGTGTGGGGGGCATCAGTGCGTGGTCAGCGGCTCTCTGCCGGGACAGCGCAGCGGCGATTCTCCAGTCCAGGTTTTTGCTTTCAATCGTGGTCTCGCCTTGTCCGCGCCATGAAGAGGTACAGGTAAGTCGGGCATGTCCCTCTACAGGAGGAATATCCAAAAATAGTAACACTATAGTCTGGGGATGATGTTTCGATTTTTTTTGCTATTTTCAATCGTTTCTTGAGTACTTGTAATTTTTCCTCCAAAATCCGCCTGTGGGGGGACATGCCCGACCTAAAGGTACAGATCAAAATGGATCCTGGGCCCCGGGGCTTTCCTCACGGCCAGCCCTTCACCGCGGAGTGCCCTAAGAGCGCTCAAGCAAGCAGCGGAAAAGCCTTCAGGACCAACATTCCTCCAGGACCCCTTCTCTTCATGCTAATTCTGACTGATCCCTGTGTGTCTCTCTCTCTCTCTCTCTCCATGTCTCCCTGTCTTCCTCCCTCTCTCCATCTCTCTGCCTGTCTTTATACCGTAGGTTCATGTCGTGTCGACTGGCGGCGACCCCGCCAGCGGCGTTCAACTTTGAACGCCCGCAGCGGGCGACCTAGAATCGTTCGATGTAGAACGATTTTGACTTTTCGGAAACGGCCGAGCGTTCAAGGTTGAACGATCCCCGCGGCGTTAGAAACCAACGCCGAAGTCGGCACGACACGAACCTGTCATATCTCCCTCCGCTGTGTAGTTATCTCTACGCCTCCTGGCGTGGCGTCTTAGTGCTAGCTAGCTGGCGCGCGTCTCGTGTGTCCGGGGTGCTCCTCGCCCTGGAGGGCTCTGGAGGTGCGCCGGGCGGCCGCGCGGCACCGCGGGAGAGGCGAGAGGGCGAAGGGGAGGAGGACGAGGAGGAGGACGAGGAGTCGAGGAGGAGGAGTAGGAGGAGGAGGAGGAGGAGGAGGTGGAGGTGGAGGTGGAGGTGGAGGAGGAGGAGGAGAAGGAGGAGGACTCGACTCGACTATGCCTTGGACTCAACGTGTCGTCTGCTACTGGACAAAGCTAGCACCACTCTGAGTCCAGCTGGGCGACCCCCTTCACTCTCACTGAGCCACGGCGCATATTGGCACTGCACGCGCCCCACTCCCGCACACAGCGAGCCAGGGGCATGCGTGCCTCCGGATCACAAATCGTCTCGCTGTCTGGTTTCCGCAGCTGTGCCGTCCACGACCCTTCCCTCTGGCTCTGGCGGCCTCTGGACGAGAGGTGAGGAGGCTGAGGTCCCTTGCCATCGCTCGGGCGTCCGTCCCCTGTGCCTTTTTCGGTTTCGCGCGTTTTTTTTTGTTTGCTCGATGCTCCAGGAGGCTCCTCTGGGGTCCCCGCCGAGAAAAAAGTGTACACCCTGCGAAATGCTTGAGAAATCATGGGTTAAGAAATTCATAGTCTCAGAAATGGAATAAAACCCAGAACTTCTATCAAAATCTTGGGATTTACATTGAAGAACTAAGAATAATCGAGACTCTGGCCGAAAACTTTAGTTTTCTTAAGCATCGCCTAAGGTGTACACCTCCGAGCGCTGCCGAGGTCAGGGGAGGTCCGAAAAAGACGGGCACGGGCAGGCCAGGCTCCCGCGGCGCCGGCAGGCGGCCCGGCGGCGGCCAGCTCTGCGCAGCGGCTGCTCTCTCCGAGTGCCGTCGGCGCCCCGCTCGGAGCTCGACGGTTGCTCAGCCGAGGTGTCTGCAGGCTCCCTCGGGTCTTTTGAGTCGGGCCCGCCCCTCCACAGGAGGGATCTTCAAACATAGTCAAAAAATCGTACGGGGACATTTGTTTGCATTGTTTTTATTAGGTTTGGTCAGTTGGGGAGTATTATTTTTTGGGGGGGGTATTTAAAATCTGTCGCCCAAAATCCTCCTGCAGGCGGGCAGGCCCGACCGAACTCTGGTCTGAACTCTTGGGGCTGGCTCGCCGATCAGCTCCAGCTCTGCTGTGCAGTCGGATACATCACGCTCCTCAGCTCTCGCCGGAGCGTGCCGCGCGGCGCCGAGCCCAGTTTCCTCTGGCCCCCATCCCTTCCTGAGCTCCCCGGTCAGGATGTCACGGATCAGTTTCGTGTTGCGTTCGTGCAGGTCGAATGAGAAGATCAGCCGCGCTTTCTCCTTCCTGTTCGGCGCCGTGTTCTTCTTCGCCTGGAAGTGCGTGGTGGAGCCCCCCAGGAGCTCGGAGTCCTCTTTGCACACTACCTGCGCCCAGAACTCCGTGAGCACCTTCTTTGCGCCCTCTTCCACGAGCGCCGCCAGGCCATTGATCGTGGCCGCTGCGATGACCAGGGGTGGAGGGCCGAGCGTTCCTCTGTCGACATGGCTGTCGACCGCGTGCTTCTCCTTGAGCTCTTTGGCGTCCGCGTCGTACTGCTGGCCCGCTTGGAGTGCGAACTCCTCGAGCGGTTTGCTGGCCTCCAGCTCCCACGCCTCGTACACCGTGGCCTGCAGGTCCTGCACGTCCTTGGCCACTATCATAGTCAGCTTGGCGGTGGTGATCGCGATCTGCTCCACGCGATCTGCATCTCTGCCCTTGCCAGCGCTCTTGCCCTTGTGCTGCTTGTTGGGGTCGGCGTCCGCTCCCGCCAGCGCGCGCTTGCCAGCCCACGTCGGCCCCCTGGCGAATGGGTCTTCCACCTGCATTGTGGTCTGGGCCTCGCTCGCCACCGCCTCCTCCTCTGCCGCCATCGGCTGGTCGGTTGGGCGCTATGCCGGCGTCGGTGCGGGAGAATCTAGCGCTGTGTCTTGATCGGGGCGCTGGCGTCGGCGGCTGCAAAACAGCTCTGGGAAAGTGACTACGGAGGTGTTGGAAGAAACAGATCGCAGCCTGAGATTTGAGGGCGATGGGGGGATGTCGGGACGTCACCCGAAAGGGGAGCCGTGCGAGCGCAGACCATGCCTGGCAGTATCTGCTGCTCGTCAAAGCTGAATTCGCCGTCGGCTTCCGAGGCGAACGTAGTCCGCTCAGCAGCAGTCACCGTCTGCCAAGCGGCAGCCGCTTTCGGGCACCGCCTCCAGCCACGGGCTTCAGTGTGATGGGCCAGTTTTCCACCACCACCACCATAAGTTGGAGGGGGAGGAGGAGGAGGAGGAGGAGGAGGAGGAGGACGAGGAGGAGGAGGAGGAGGAGAAGGACGGAGAGGGGGAGGAGGATGAGGAGGAGGAGAAGGAGGAGAAGGAGGAGGACGAGGAGGAGGAAATGGAGGAGGAGGAGATGAAGGAGGAGGAGATGGAGGAGGAGGAGGAGGAGGAGGAGGAGGAGATGGAGGAGGAGGAGGAGGAGGAGGAGGAGGAGGAGGACGCCTTCCCCCTCCTACTTATGGTGCTGGTGGTGGAAAGAATGATCACCACTGGTCGCTTTGGTCCATGACCGAGGCCGCCGGCCTCCTCGGAGCTCCCCAGCCGTGGGCGATCCAGTCTCTAGGCGACGCCGACTGGCCAAACTGCGGGAGCGGGCGTCGCCCAGGGCGTCGCGTCCTGTCTTTTTTGTCAGTATCGTTAAGTCGGGCCGATCCCTCTACAGGAGGACAGTTCAAACATAGTTTTCACCAATAATCTGGGGACGATGGTTTGAACATTTTTTTTGACTATTCTAGTGCATTCTTGGCGTATTTTGGAGGACATGCCAAATTTGTTCGTCCAATATTCTTGTCTTCAGTTCTTTTCGTTCAATAATCGCCTGTAGGAGGACATGCCCGACCTAACAATATCAGTTGACCGACGCCCATCCCGATCCCCATCCCCGTCCCCTTCCGCATGCCCATACCCATCAAGACCGCCACGATCTCAGCAACCCATTTGGGGATGCACCCTTCGAAGCTCGAAGGAAGTAGCCTGTGTCCCTATTCAGGGGATGAATCGGCCAGCGGAGCCCAAGCCACGCCCACGGGGATAGGCCAGCGTCACCCAGCACAGCAAGACGATGTGTGCGTCGCTCCCCCAGGGGCGACGCGCGCGCCGAGAAATCCCACAGTATGCTCGACGGCGGGCGCCTTCTGGCCACACCGCTCTGGAAGCGGTGCGCTACAAGATGCTTGTACTATACCACACCAGAGAAGAACCCCAATCAGCGGATGGCTTGAAATGGGATCGATAAAGAGATCGATGAGGAGATCGACCGGGGACCCGGGAGGCCGGAACCCACCGAACTCGGCCCAGAACCTGTGACCGGGCGCCCGGGACCCTGGAGCCGGGAACCCCGGGAGCCCAGCGGGCCACCAAACTCGGCGGGACGCTTCCGCCAGAGCTTTCAGTGTCCGCCCAGACCCCATGCAGTGCGAGGACTTTGGGCGCTGCGTAATGGGGGGGTCATAAATGGGGGGGGGGCGAGGGTGGTCCGAAAAGGTACCCAAACGGTACCTAAACGAGCCCCCTGGGGGTCCAGAGGGGCCCGAAAGGGGCACGAAAGGGGACCGTTTCTGACCCCCCCCATTGATGACCCCCCCATCAAGCCACGCCCAAGGACTGACTGGGGAGTGTCCGGGTCGTGCGCGCGCCTCCGAGGAGAGGACGTCGGTGCTGTGGCAGGGCCTCGCGCTTCCCCAGAAGGGGGGCGGCGAGGCGCTGCTCGGACGGTATGTGCGGCCCGCGGCCCCTCGCGCGGCCCCTGCCTGCCGGCCGTCCTGCAGGTGCGGCCCGCGAGGGGCCTCGCCGCCCGCGCGCCCCGGGGCGGCCTCGACGCGCGCCGCGAGCAGGCCGTCGGAGGAGGAGAAGGCGTAGCCTCAGGAGGTCTCTCCAGCTCTGCGCACCCTTCCCCCGTTTTTCTGTCGGAGGAGAACAAGCTCGCCCGTCCTCCTCCTCCTCCTCCTCCTCCTTAGTCCTCCTCCTCCTTCTTCTCCTCCACGCCTCCTCCTCCACCCCTCCTCCTGATCACCCTCGCCCAGGAGCCGCCCCGTCTGTCGTCCCATCGTCGTCGTCGCGTCGTTGTCGCCGTCGTCGGTCATCGGCCCCGCTCTCCGCGGCTGCGCGCGCTCCTCGTGCCCTTGCAGCCGTGCCTTTTTGGTCCATCCTTGACCACCTTCGATGGCCCGCCGCGCTCGAAAAGGCTTCGGCCTGGGCGTCCAATGGCCATGGCAGCCGTACAGCGCCTCGTCACGATCAGTTTTGACTGCACCCTTGCCTCGTTTCTCCTTTTCAGGCCGCCCAGGGCAGATGGGCAACAACATGTCCAGAGTCGAAGACGGAGGGACAGTGGATCCGCGCCGTCGGCATCGGCGTTTGCGTCGTCGCCTATCGCCCCGCTCTTGCCCCTCCTTTTCTCCCCTGGCCCCCCTCTCCCTCCCTCCCTGCGTGCGCTGCCCCCCTCCTTCCAAACTCCTGCCGCAGACGTGCTCGCGTGGAAAAAACCCAACGATCGAAGGTTTGCGGCAGTTTGCGGTCTCGGGCGGCCCTCGCTGCGCCCCGGGGCCATCAAGAGAGCACTCGGGATAAAGAGCCGGCCTTGGGGACAAGGGTCGGGGAAAAGCCAGGGCATTGGATGTCTGGAGCCCCCTCCTTTCGGCGGCGAGCCCAGGGGGGAAGCGAGACGGGGCGGGCCTTCTCAGAAGAAGGCTCGGGAGTCCCCCAGGCTTCAACGACATTTTCTGAGCCTGCCCCGAAGACGCCGAAAGCTGCTCAGAGGGCGAGAGGGCTTCTGAGAAGCCCCGCCGCCTTCCGACGAGGCCTTCTTCTTCTTCTTCTCACTTCCTCCCCTCCCGCGCCGCCGACCCCTCCCCACTCGCGTAGTCCAGCCGTCCGTCTCCTCGCAGCCGCCCGCGCCGTCCTTGCCGACGCCGCGCCCGCGCTCGCCCGCAGGGTCTCGGCGGCGACCGCCCTCTCCCCCCCCCTCCGGGGCCGGGCCCCCTTCCCTTCAGGGGCACCGGCGGGAGTGGACTGGCCCGGGCGGGGGGGGCTTTCGAGCAGTGGCGAAGGGTCTTGGCTTGCCTATACAGGCCGCCCACCACAGAATGTTCTGATGACCTTGTGGCTGGCACGAGCGTTTCTGGTTGAGACCGTCTTGTTTGAATGGACCCGATCTCTGTTCTAAGAAGATGGTTTTTGTTCTTCGCACATTTTGGGGTTCAGAGAAACACTGCGTGGTAGGCGCACAGGAATGCCGTTTCATTCGGTCCCTGCTCAAGAAACGACCCGCCCGACTGCAAAACGGCCGAAAACGGCAAAAAGCCTTTGCGTCGCCGTGTTTCGGCGGCGAGCGAGGGGGGCGAACCGAGGAGGAGGCTGCCCTTCTCAGAGGGCGGCGGGGCTTCTCAGAGCCCCTATCGCGCCCTCAGTGAGACGACGTTCTGCTGCGCCTCCGGGGGGAGGGCTCGGCGAGAGCTTCTCAGGAGAGGACGGAGGACTTCGACTCCCGAGCCTCCTGAGAAGGCCCGCCCTCTCTCCCTTCCCCCCCGGGGCTCGCTGCCGAATTTCTTTTTTGCACGACGCGAGGGGATGTCAGGGCCCCTCTGAGCCAGTCCCCCCCCCGTCGTTCCCCCCTATTCTTAAGTCGGGCCTGCCCCTCTACACGAGGAGTATTCAAGAATAGTCCCCACAAAATAGTATGGGCACGATTTCTGAACTATTTTTGATAATTTTGGAGTCTGTTTTGTCTATATTTCATTTTTCGTCCAACATCCGCCTGTAGGGGGACATGCCCGACCTCATCCTACCCCCGCGCGCGCGCCGCGCCCGGAATCGCCGGGCCCTGCCCTTTTGGCGAGGCGACTCGCCACTGCCGCCGCCGTGCGGAGGTCTCACGTCGCCGTCGTATACGTGGCGAGCTCAAGAGGCTCCTCCTCTTTCTCCTCCTCCCCCTCCTCCTCCTCCTCTTCCTCCTCCTCCTCATCCTCTTCCACCAAGCGACCCGGGACGAGAAGCGGGTCCTGTTCCGGGGACCCGTTGGGAGAAGATCAGGGCAGCGGGTCTCTGTCGCGTATAGCCAGGACCCCAGGTAATGGGACCCGATTGGGTAGGAGGGCCCCGGAGCCCCTAAAGTTGCCAGAATCACTAAATCAGGTCTGCCGTAGCTGCCGTTTTTTCGGGTGGCGGCAGTTCCGGTTAGTGGAACGGGGCGGGGGGGCGCGTCCCCCCGTGCACATCGCTAAAACAGGTCCCACGAAAGCCAGTTCTGCCAACGCCCGACTCTGGGAATCGGAGGAGGGCGAGTGGAGACAGCGAGGGTGGGCTTCCCGGGGGGGGCGCTCTCGTCGCCACACACATCGGCGCAGGTCGGAAAGCCTGTGCAGCGTGACCCCGGGAGGAGTCCGGGGGCGGATTTCGAGCTGCCGTTGTCTCGACATAGCCCTGCTCCGAGAGAAGTCGTCCAGAAGGAATGTGGCCATGGAGGAGGTTGTTCCCATGTCCTGAGATGGGGTTCTTGTTCCCCATATCCATAGGATGGGGTTTCTTGTGATGACTCCGACCGCTCCGAACTCCCTCCTTCTACCTCCTCATCCTTCTCATGCTATGTTCTGGTATGGCATGGCATGGTATGCTAACGATACATCCCCAGGCCGAAAGTTGTTTCCTCTTGCATGGGAACGCATGGATCCATTTGGATCCAATTACGTGTGTGCGAGAGTGACGTGGATCCAATTTCCGTGTCTTCTGGACCCAATTTCTTGGCGTGGAAATTTCGTGGATCCAATTTGTCTTGGAATGAATCTAATACAAGGGACCCATGGGGAAATGGATCCACGGAGCCTTGGACCTGCAGCCCAAGCTATGATTCTACGGGGGAGGGGTGTCCCTACCGAGGATGGAGGCGGACGAGGAGGAAGGACGGAAGAGGCGGATCAGGGAGGAGGGAAGAGGAGAGAAAACGACCGCGGTGGCCAAGTCGGGAGTTCGAGCGCCACAGCGGGCCTGGCCACCCGTCCGAAGCCCTCCCATAACATGTCGTTGCTCGAGCGCCACAGCTGCCCCGGCCAACTCCGGCAGCCTCCATAACATGTGGGTGCTCGAGCGCCACAGCGGGCCTGGCCAACTCCCGCAGCCTCCCATAACATATGCCGCACCCCACCTCGACGCGAGTGCGATATGATCGCTGCGTCCGCATCCGCTAAAACCAACGACACTTCGCATTTCTCATGTGGGCCTTAAGAGGAACATCTTTCGGCCTGCTAAGCATATTGATTGCTATGGTATATGATTGGTGTATGTATTGCTATGTTTTGTTATGACATGATGATGGTGGTGGAGGTGGTGATGCTGCTGCTGATGCTGCTGCTGTTGATGATGATGATGATGAGGAGGAGGAGGATGGCGGAGCAGATTCTGAGGATGTCTTGAGCAGCCGCGGGTTGCAGCATCCCCAAGGGGGAGCCGCCAGGGGGTACCTCATTCCTCCGTTCGCTCCAAATTGGCGGGGATGTGTCGAGCAGGGTGCTTGTTTTGGTACCAACATCCTCCTCTTTCGGACCAGATGCTGAGGACGTCGTGAGCGAGGCGCTCAAGCCGCCAGGGGGTATCTCATTCCTCCGTTCGCGTCAAAATGGTGGGAATGTCTCGAGCGGGGCGCTTGTTTTGGTGCCCAACATGCTCCGCTTGCGGAGCAGATTTGGAGGATGTCTCGAGCGAGGCGCTCACGTACGCCTCCAAGGAGGGCCAAATGTTGAGGGTGTCTCGAGCGGTTTGCTTATTTTGCTGATCAGGACCGTGGGCGCGGATCCTCTTTCGGATGCCACGGGAGGCTCCAACAGGCTCCAGGAGGCCCCTGGAGGCCGCAGGAGGTCCCGGGAGGTAGCAGGATGCCACAGGAAGATTCAAGAGGCCAGATGATGTCCCAAGAGGCTCCAGGAGACCCAAAGGAAACCCCAAGAGGGTCCAGGAGCCCGAGGCATCAGACGGCCACAGGAGTGGCTCCAATCCCATGTGTTGACGTATGCTCGAGTATCTTGGGCTTCGCCTGGAGCACGAGCTCTTGGCGTGCCACGTATGGTTCTATAGACGGTCCTTCTCCTGCGCACCCAATCCTGAGTGTTTTACGACTGTTCCTACAGATTGGGCCTCCCATGTATGCACGAGTCGTTGGTGTTTTACGTGTGTTCCTATATATTGCCTTTCCCCTGCGGCTCCATGCCGCAGTGTTTTATGCATGTCTGTTCTTATAGATTGGGCTTCTCCTGGGACACGAGTTCTCCCTAGGAGACCCCAGGAAGCTCCAGGAGGCCCCAGGAGGCCACACGAGGCCCCAGGAGGCATCAGGAGGCCACAGGAAGTCCCAAGAGGCCCCAGGAGGCCCTAAGGGGCCCCAAGAGGCCCCAGGAAGCCCCAGGAGGCCCCAGGAGACCCCAGGAGGTCCCAGGCTCTTGCGCAGAGACGCGCTCCTACTACTGAGACTCATTCACACTCGAACTCATCCACAGTTATGTTCACTCCCAGACCGTCACTACTCAAGCCTGTTTATATTCGAAAGCTCTTGCCTCTAGACACTCACGGTGGATAGGTCCATGCGAATAGGTGCACGTTTGGGGAGCTCCACGCAGTGAACAATTCTTACTTAGACGCCTCGGAACTACCTCCTCCTCCTCCTCCTCCGCCTCCTCCTCCTCTCCCTCCTCCTCCTCCTCCTCCCCTCCCCCCTCTCTTCTCCATCATACGCAGAGTATCATGATGCACTCATGGTGTGATGGTGCCGAATGGTTGCGATTCGAGTGTGGTGACGGTGATGATGATGCAGATGGTGATGACGTGCCACGTTACGCCATGTCATATTACGGTATGGTAATAATGGTATTGAT